TCACAAGAGCCCAAAAAAATAGTCTATGTTACATGTTGGTAGTATCTCTCTATTTAGTTAATGTTTTTTATTTAAGAAAATAGTTTCATGGGCCCCAAACATAATATATTTCGTTATATGACATGCATTTTGTCTCTTCGAAGAATTTGATCGTCAACACGAATTTCAAGGACTAAATAAGGAATGTCTGATTTTGTATTACATAAACATCTTTGTTTGTTTTAAATCTCGGTTTTTATTAGGTTATCCGGGGTTAATAATAGTTTCTAGATTAATTTGAACGCGTGATTTTGTTTTACATCTAACACTTTGTTTTTCATTTTGGTCACCTAACTTGTCTAAGTGTCTTAGATTATAAACATATTATATATCTGTGATTTAGATATTGAAATTTTGTATTTTAACTCAATTTGTATATTGAAATTTTATTGTTTTGATATTGTAATTTGCCTTTATTTGTGTTATGAATTGTTTTTTTTTATCACTAAATTGTCTCACCATATAATAATGACTCACCACACAAGTGAAAATATATAGCTGTGATTTGTTAAATAGCTTTTTAATGACCGCAAAGTTTGTTATTTATTTATTTATTTATTTGTATTATTTCATAGTTTATTATTAAATGATAAAGTGATATGTCACCTGTCATTTGTTTGCAATTTTCATTTTGTTCGTTGTGACATTACAACTAATTGATAAATTGAGTATTTTTTTTCATTTGCATATACTTTTATCTTGGTTTTTTGTTATTTTTGCTTATTCGGTTTTACAACTTAGATAACTTTAGCCATTAGATGTTTTTGTTTCGTTACTACTTACTAGTTATTTTTTATATTGTTAGTAGTGACTTCGCATCTAAAAAAGACAGAAGAAGTATTTTTCGTAAATTATTTGATTTCTGAAATTGGGTCTATGTGGGGCTTTATTTCTTTCTCATTTCGGGCCCAAAATATGTTTATAACGGTCCTAATACCGACTTGAAAAATGACATACATTTCAGTTTGGTACCGATATCGATTCAATGGTTCTTGCGGCCCATTTGCTCATCCCTATGTATAATTACTTAAAAATCATGTACGGGGATATAACATTCGTTAACTTGGATGTGAATTTATATGTTTTGGAACATGTTGGATGTACTTTGCCCAATAATACCCTTGTTTATATATCATATTCCTTGTCATATCAACAAGGAATATATGTGAGAAAGTTATCTTTATATCTATTTACTTCATCATATCAATTAAGTAAACTTATTCTAACAAACATTTCTTACTATGGCGAGTTTTTAGCAATTTAGTTTGTTTATTACCCATTTTAGTTTGTCTCTTTCCTTACTTTGTAGAGACATCTTATAAGTTATAACAACCTCCATGATCACATTAATAGGCCAAATGTCTCAAAAAGGTGCTAATGTTATTGCATTGTTTAAAATGTGATCGTGACATATCACTATGTTTATTTTCCTTTTGAAGTTAAGTCACTGTACGCAATTGTGAAAATGGTAATATATATAGTTAGCAACTATTATTATAATATCGTCCCCTACGGCCCTACCTGTAAAGAATCCATCAAAAAGCCATTCGGAGAGCATATATACAATGGTATATGCTTATCGTATCATTTTTTTTAATGGTATTAGATTCTCCAACAAATTTATGACATTTATTATACTCATTATCTTTTATGCATAAAAACATATGAATTATACAATGTTTCAATTTATAATTATGGTGTACCATCACATCTATTTAATTTAAACTATATGGAATTCATGTACACATTATCTTGAGTTTCATTACATTTTGAACAATATATGGACCAATAATGAAAACGGTCATCATCAAATGCAAATAATAGAACAATAATTGGACAAGGCTTCAAGAAAATAACCATAAAAATCCTACCGAAGATACCCAATACAACCAGAATGATTGAAGAGCAAAAAAAAAAAAAAAGTCGAACCCTAATTAGAAGACCAAAAAATTGAAGATTACTTCAAAAAATCTATTAGCGGCACTCTAATATTAATAGTCTAATTTTAGGGTTTTTTTAATTTTTTATAAATGTATGTTTTGACTTTGTTGCTTTTACAATATATTTTAATGAAGCTATATTTGGATGATATTACATTTTATGGTGTAGTTTATTAGTTTATAAGTTAATAAATAATTAAACATGCGGATTAGATATAACTATTTGGAATCTTATGGACAAAAATCCGCATAAAACCATCCCAAACCGAATCATATTGGGTCCGATGATTTATGAAGATGTCACCCAAACCGAATCGGATTTATGTCGGATAATAATATTGTTTCGTCACCTCTGCCTTTTTCTAAGTTTCACTAGTATAGGGGTCGATTCATTGTCCCAATTTATCTTCATTATAACTATGAATGATCTTCATGTAGCTATGAAAGATGTTATGATTAATAGTATGTTTCAGTGGTGCATTCGTTGGAAATGAAGGTTTCTTTGATATTTTATTTACTAGGTGTAAAACCCGTGTATTACACGGGTTGATTAAAAAAATATTAAAATGTAAATAATATGTATTTTTTAAAATAAAATTTTGAAATGATAAATTAAGAAACATATTAATTGCAATTAGTATAATATTTATTACATTTGATACTTTACATATATAAGGATAAATATTATGTGACTTTTTAATTTTTAAAATTGAAAAAACAATAAATTGATATGTAGATATTATTTATTTAAAAATTATCACAAAATGACAAGTGTCAAAACTCATTAGAGATTGACATGTGACAAAATTATCTTCATTTATTATAGTAGATTCTATATCGATGATGCTTCGTTCTTAGGTAAATGGGATGCGAGAAAAAGTCCAAAATTTAGTTTGATTGTTGGGATTTTTAATTTAGCTTCATGGTTGAAAATCAATCTCAACATGTCGAATATACACAGAGTAAAGAAATATTCGACTAGAATAGATCAAATGGTAGTTACTATAGGATGTGAAACAACTACATTTCCTTTAAAACATATTGGATTACTGGTAGGGGACAATATGTCACAAGTTGATGGTTGATATGTTATAACTGATAGATTTGAGAAAAAAAATTATAACCGGAAAGTTAAGATGTTATCGATTGGAGGTCGACTTATTTCGTTGAAATCTATGTTGGGCAGTTTAGGCATTTTTTACATCTATTTTTTAAAATGTTGGAAACAATATGTCACTTATTACAAGGAGTTAGATCACGTTTTTTTAGGGCGGAATATAAATGAAAAATATCCTTATCGTTATTATAAATCACACACACAAACACACACACACATATATATATATATATATATATATATACTAATAAAAAAGTAGTTTGTTTTTGCCATGTGTCACCATATTAGACATTCTAATTAATGTCATGCCACTTATGAACCTATTAATTCTCCATTTCAAATTTTAAATTTTCCACTCTAATTACATTAAATTAATAAAATTAGAATATAAAATAAAATAAAACTAATACAGATTATAAGGTGATATAGTTTCACATATTCATTTGAATCAACGATTATAATTTTATATAATTAAAAAAATATTTCTTAATTAATAATTACTTAAAATAATTTATTTAAAATAATTAAATAATAATTTTGAGTTTTACTATAAAAGTTTAGTTAATTTTGTAACCATGGTTTCCACGAGGTATATATATATATATATATATATATATATATATATATATATATATATATATATATATATATATTATATATATATATATATATTGGGCTTTAAAAAAGATTGGCCTGTGATATTGCCTACTGCCTACTGCCCACTCCCCCCCCCCCCCCAATGGGTTTGGAAGTCTTGGTGCTTTCAACCTTGTTAGATTACATAGAAGTGGCGATGTTAGTTTCTTAGGTGCTTTTTGTTTTTTGTCTGCATATCTTTTTGGCCTTTTTTGTCTGCGCCGCGCAGACCACGCGCAAATATTAGACTTCGCAGGCTGTTTGCTTTTTTGAAGACTGCAAACCTAAAAAGGTCTGCACGTCCTCTTCTTGGCGCAGATGTGGACCAAAGTCTTCAAACATCTTCAGACATTTTCTAGCCTAAATAACACATATATATCTTTTTTTTTTTTAAACTTAGATTTATTCCAACTTTATCTATGATAAACAATTTTAAATTTTTTTTTACTATACCTAAAGAAAAAAGGTTCAACGACACAAATGAATTTTGTGACAAATTTATAAATAAAAATGTAATTACAATAATGGTCGTTAGAGCTGTTTATATGGATATGAAAAAAAACCGTAATATTGTCTTATATTTTTTGTGCCAAATTTTATAAATCATTATTTAATGCTATATCATTCATTTCTTGGAATAAATATTTATGGCCAGTTTTTAATTGATTTAATTGAGAAGGTAAAATGAAAATTTTGAAAATTTCATTTAAAATCAAATTTTATTTTCATCCATTTTACATGTTAAATTCTTTTATCCTTAATTACAATGTTTATGTATATCTTTGCAACCACAGTTTATTGGTTTTTATCAAATATATAACGTTAATTCGTACCATTTTTATAAAATAATACATAAAAGTCGATCTACATTTGTTAATTATCTATAATAAAGTCATAAAATTATTGAAAAACTCTTATAAATTAAAAAAAATCGGTTTAATTAGATTTTAGTTTATTCTAGCAGTTTGCAGATGTTAAAAAACAAACAATCTTTTTCTTTCAGACTGCAGGCGTTTGATCCACCTCTTCTACTGCAGAGGTCTGCAGATGTGGTCCGCAGAATGCAGATAATTTGCCTCAGAAAAAATAAACAACACCTTAATGACTTTGACACCTTATGAGTCAAAGTTGTTAAATCCATTCACGGTTGCTAAGGGGGTTGATGTTGTTTGGGGATGTTTTAAAAAGAAGTGGAGTGTGGGCTAAGACCGTGAGTTTATTTAATCGTTTAAATGACAAAGGCCATTATCACTCATTCACGTTTTTGTATGCGTTTGGCAAATGGTTCTGGAGCACTGTTTTGGAAGGAAGTGTGGATCGAGGATGCTGCTGTTATAGAGAGATTTCCTAGGCTGTTCTTACTTGAAATTAAGAAAGATTGTCAGGTTAATTGAAATAGAGTTAAGTGATTATTTATTAATTTAACTAATGTGATTAGAAAAATGATATTCAATATGTATCATTTCATGAATTGTGAAATTAGTGAAGTTTGTTGCTATAATAGTTATAAAAATATATGATAATATTGTCTTCCTTATAAGAACCTAGTGGTTGAGGTGATGAATTCCACAAATGATATCTAAGGTTCAAATTAATATGGGTGCACTTACTACTACTTACTGGCGGTTTTACTATGGTGCCCATAGTGGTACCGACAATGCCTAGTTTTTCGGACACGGTGCAAAAAATTTCGAAATTTCTAAAATTTCCCATGACACCCCTACTATGAGATCATGCACTAGTGCTCCATGATTTACACCGAAGTGATTGACATTTGGATGTGTCCGACGTGCACCTCTTAGATGATGTGATTTAGCATCTCATCTCAAAACCTAAGAATAATATAAATGGATACAATGTCGGTATTAAATTAAAAAAAAAAAAAATCAATGCAAATAGCCAAATATGCTTGGGTACATACATGATACACCAAGCAAACGTTTTTAGCTAGTCATATATATGGATTGTCATCTCAACCTTTTTCCAAACCAATACAGCAATCGACACAACGTAGAAGAATATTAAAGTCTACAAGTCTACAAGCAAGACCCACCTCTCTCTCTCTCTCTCTCTCTCTCTCTCTCTCAGAGACAGACACGCACACACATATATATACATGGTTGAGAAAGTTGATGGTGAAAACAGAAAGTCTCAACCAAGAATTATTTCTTCAAAACTGTCATAAGTCTCTGTCTTTTTAACTTCACACTTTCACTTCAATTATCACATATCCTTTTTCTTCTTCTTCAAAGTAAATCCTCTTTCATTTCCCTTTTCCCCTCTGTTATCGACTTCCTTATAATTGCAAACGACATAGAGTGATCTGCATCTCTTAAGCTAGCGATTCATGTTTTATTTGATCACATGTACTGTTTTTTTGTTTTAAAAGAAAAGTAAAATATGATTCCATTTATATTGGTGTTCATAGTGTTTCACTCTTGGGATGTGTATTTTCATGTTTTGGATTAATTGGTCTTTAATCGAGTTTTTGAATCTAATAATTATGGGTTTTAGGTGTTTTTCATGTTTCATGTTTGATCTTATCCCGTTTGTTGCAGGAAAACCATCGACGGAGGTAGCTTGTATGTTCGAGTGTGAATTGACGATTTTAGCCTCCAATTATCAACTGGTTAAATATTATGGCTGAGAAAAACGATGGATGTCCATATGGAAATCCAACAAGATTTCCCTTTTCCATTTTCTTTAAAGATGCGAGGTACATTACCTTTCCATTTACCTGTTTTCAAATATTAAACTAACCATTATATTTTTGATATAATAAATAAATGCTTATTTTTTATATATATATATATATATATATATATATATATATATATATATATATATATATATATATCTTAATAATATTTTCTAAATTGAAAAAGCTATTGTGCACTCGATCATCTGAATTCTGATTAAAATTGTTTATAAATGTTGTAACATAATTTAAAAACTTGTTCTATACTTTTTGTGCTAAAATGGTAATACGTGTATTTTTCAGGTCAGCATTAAAAATGGACGAACTTGGCGTCGAAATAGCTAAAATTGCCTTACCAGCTGCACTTGCTTTGACAGCCGATCCTATTGCCTCTCTTGTGGACACAGCCTTCATTGGTCAAATTGGTAATTTCATATATTCTAATGTGTTTTTATTTGTATGTTAACAATGAATCTATGATTACGATAAAATTATACATACAATAGTTAGAAAACATATTAATTCAAATAAACATGTATACATGTAGGTGCAACTGAACTAGCTGCTGTGGGAGTTTCGATAGCTGTTTTCAACCAAGTATCAAGAATCGCAATTTTTCCTCTAGTAAGCATTACAACATCTTTTGTGGCTGAGGAAGACGCAATCATGAACTCAAGTCATCAAATGCAAGGGCCCACTACAAATAGCGAAAACAAAAAGTTGCTCGAACTACAAAACATAAGTATAATACTGTTACCAAATTTCATTTTATTATGATTTATGACATCCAACTAATTTGTTATTTATCAAAATATAAACTTGTCCAATGTAGAGCTTGAGTCGCTCGATGAGGAGTCAATAATTACAAGCTACGAGAAAAAACGGATCCCGTCAGCTTCATCTGCTATAATCATCGGGGTTGTTTTAGGGTTTTTGCAAACTGTGTTTCTAATAACTGCATCGAAGCCCATTTTGGGCATAATGGGGATCAAATCGGTATGTAAAAAAGCTAAGTTTTCGCTTATTATAAAGTAACTTTTTTTATTTTAAAAAAAGAGTACTTTATAGTCTATATGTACCCTTGACAGAGAACATGTCTAGGTTTTGAACAACTGTCAAAGCCTGGACACTGATTCTTTTGAATATACAGGACTCTCCTATGTTGTACCCCGCACAACAATACTTAAAGTTAAGGTCGCTTGGTGCTCCTGCGGTTCTACTTTCGTTAGCGATGCAAGGAGTCTTTCGTGGATTCAAAGACACAAAAACTCCTTTGTATGCAACCGGTAAGTGGAAAATGAAATAATGATATATTGTCTATAATACATCATTTATTGTATTTTCTAACTAACTTAAGTTTAATTTTAAATGAGTTTAAGTGGCCGGAGATGTGACAAATATTATTCTAGACCCAATATTTATTTTTGTTTTTGGTCTTGGCGTTAGCGGTGCGGCCATTGCTCATGTTATATCTCAGTAAGTTATCTTAAAATCGTGTTTTTCTTTTTCTACAAATGCTTACATTTTAATTGTTTACTTTTATAGATGAATAATTCAATTTACATATGTGAACGTGAAAGTATATTTTTTGGACTAATTAAAGAAAGATGTGACACAATTGTTGGTTTAGTATCGGTGTAGGGTTATTGACCGGGTTCATAATTATAAATATATACAAAAAGCAACGCCTCACATATTTATCGTAATGCACAATGTACAACTAGATGGTGAACCATGACCTCTCTCTTTGGTCAAAAGTATTGAGAGTAATGTACAACTGAAAGTTTCACAGGACTTATATATATATATATTTAAATGACTTCTTAATAAGGCATAGTTTTAGGCTACTACTTAAGCCTTTGATACATTGTAGCATGCCCTACTAAATTCTATACCCTTCCAAACAACTTTTCAAGATTTTAGAAACGTCTACAAGGTTTTAAGAATTTTTCAACCGGTTCATTACATCATATGACCATTTATATACCACAGATTATAAAAAATCAAATTAAAGACATTTATTTTAGCATCAAAAGTCAAATATATCGCCTTTTTTCCTTTAAAAACTCATTGATCTTTTGACACTTGTGTGTAGGTACCTAATTTCAATAATACTCTTTTGGAGATTAATAGAAAAGATTGATATCGTACCACCTAATTCTAAGCATCTACAGTTTGGTCGATTTCTCAAAAACGGTGATTATATCAATTTCATGTCTTATTTAAACAATGTAAACGGGATCAAATATTTATTTCTCAATTTTTATTTTGGTTTATGTTTCCAAGAAGCAGGTTTTTTGTTGCTAATGAGAGTGACGGCTGTAACATTCTGTGTAACATTAGCTGCATCAATGGCTGCAAGACAAGGGTCAACAACAATGGCTGCCTTTCAAGTTTGTTTGCAAGTTTGGCTTGCAACTTCACTTTTAGCCGATGGTTTGGCTGTTGCAGGACAGGTTTCTGTTTCTATCTCAGTCACTATATATTTTTTATTCTTTTTGGCTCTCACATATAAAATCTTGTATCTTGCTTAAATCTTTCAAGGCTATAATTGCAAGTGCATTTGCAAAAATGGACTACGAAAAGGTTACTGCAACCGCTTCAAGAGTATTGCAGGTACACTAAAGCACCCGCAATATGAAAGTTTTTAATTAAGTTTTGTAGTGCCATATCAACATTAAGTCAAGAAAAGGAAAAATATGTTTAATATCATAATATGTCTCTTATTAGGTCTAACTCTGTCAGATTCATAGTCAAGTCTCTTACTCGGTCAGATTCATAGTCAAGTCTGTTTAAAAGTCTCTTACTCGGTCAAATTCATAGTCAAGTCTTATTCGGTTAGACCATGACTCAATCAACAACTCTTAAGTTTTTTCAAAACTTATTTATGGGTCCCACAAATCTTATCTATTTATAAATAATAAGATAAAAGATGAAATATAATTATGAAAAAACTCTCACATAAGCTCTTATTGTGGATGTTGTTATTGATGGTACGACTTGTCAATGCAGTTAGGTGTAGTTCTCGGGGTTGGGTTGGCTATTCTCTTAGGGTTTGGATTACACTTTGGAGCAAGATTGTTTACAAAAGAAGCCGGTGTCCTACATCTCATTAGCATCGGAATCCCGGTATTATTTACTCAAAGAAAATTAAAAACTATTTTTTTTGGCTCGATCTTTAAAACTAACTCTAACAATATGATGATCTTTTTTTCGTGTATAGTTTGTTGCAGGAACTCAACCAATCAACGCATTGGCCTTTGTTTTCGACGGTGTCAACTTTGGAGCATCTGATTTTGCATATGCAGCATATTCTATGGTTCGCTTCTTTTCACCATTTTTTTTTTCTTCACCATTTTTTTTTTCTACCTTTTATATCATTTTGTAGGTTCATACAAAAGAACCTACAAAATGAAATAAATCAAATCGAACAAATGGATATTTCTTCAATTGAGACTATTTTAACTTTTTTTTTTGGATCTTAGGTTCTCGTTGCTATAATTAGCATTATATCATTATTTGTCGCCTCAAGCCATGGGTTCATCGGTCTATGGGTTGCTCTGACTTTATATATGAGTATGAGAGCATTCGCGGGATTTTGGAGGTACTTTTTCATACTCTAAAGCCAAAACACGATGTTTTGTCTTTGTTACGACATGACACACAGAAGCGCAGACTGTCTGCCCTTCTGTGTGTCCTGTCTATTTTTGTGTCTATCTATCTACGCATACATCCTCAAGTACTATCGCCATGTGCTTTTGCAGGATAGGGACAGGAACCGGGCCCTGGTGCTTTCTAAAGGGAATTACCTAGATTTAGTTCATTCGGTCAAAAATAAAAGAAACATATCTTTGTTTATTAAGCACTTCATAAAGATGATATGTGAAATTGATCCAAGTATATGAAATGCAAAAACATGCTAGAATTCTCTCAAGGCAGTTACATAATGTGACATATCAAAATTTTAAAAGTACAAATTCAAACTTGAAATATAATTCGGCCTCATGCCATGTATGATGTATAACATCTTTAACCTACACAACCCTCCAACAAACACAAAAATTATTTGCAAGGTTAAAGAATCCTGAGCAAAAATCTAGGAAACCAGATTTGGATTTGGTTAAATCCTAGTAGTAAAAGAAAAAAGCACAGGAAAAGTCAGAAGGTTCTGAGTTTTGTGATCAAATTGGTACCTTTTTTTTAACTACCATAAGCCGATGAACTTCCACCAGACACCTCCAACTCCAAGCCAGATGATGATGTTGACCACAGAGATAAGGAACCCATAACCCCACCATTTTGCAAGAGGGACATAGTTTGCTCCATAGAAAACTGGAGCTGACCCGATTCCATAATGGGTCAACCCACCCATGAGGTTGGAAAGAAATGCCAACACCATTGCTGCAAACAGAGGTGGTGTCCCAAGGGCAGTGGCAACTGACAAGAAGGCGGTGAACATGGCACCAATGTGAGCAGCTCCACTAGCGAAAAAGTAATGGGAGTAGAAGTATAGAAGAACTAGAATCCCAAAAGATGCTTGCCATTGAAGACCTAGTCCACCTACAAACTGCATTCAAAAGATTTTCAGATTTTGTTATGTTTGGAGGATGAATGTATGATGAAATTGAAAACATACCTTGACCACGGTTTGACTGAACCAGGAGATGAGACCATATTTGTTGAGGTACCCTGCCATTGCAATGAGTGCAGCAAACCATGTAAGGGTGTCCCAAGCAACAGATTCACCTAAGCATTCTTTCCATGTCACAACTCCTGTTATAAGAAGAACAGATAGTCCAAGAATTGCAGCTGTAACAGCATCAACATTCAGCATTCCTCCAAATATCCATAGCCCAACCTAACTCCAGAATTGTTCAGTTAGTACTAACTACAGTATGAATGAATAAATCAACGTAGTTAGTGACTAATGAGTAATCAGTTTACCATACCGTAAGAAGCAAAGTGCCTGCCATGATGATTTCGTTCTTTGTCATTGGCCCCATTTTCTCCAATCTCTCTTTCGCAAGCTTGGGTGCATCAGGGCTACTTTTCACAGATGGTGGATAGATTAAGTAGAGAATGAGTGGGACTACAATCAATGATACCATTCCAGGAACGATCGCAGCTGTTGCCCAATCGGTCCACCCGATTGTCTGCTTTATGGTGTTAAACGTCAAATTAGCACTCAGTGGATTGGCAGCCATTGCAGTCAAGAACATAGATGAGCTAATAACCGACGTCTGGAAACAAGTCAACATCAACCATGAACCTAGCTTATGCTCGGTTCCATCGCCTACATTACTCCCACAAGCAACGCATAAGGACTTAACCAAGGGCAAGAAAATTCCTCCTGCTCTAGCGGAAACTGAAGGAATTGCTGGTGCTAACAAAGCCTCACTGAAAACCAAACTATATCCTAGCCCTAACGATGAGCTACCGAATAACGAGACAAATTGGTAAGCAATTCTGTTTCCTAATCCTGTTTTGATAAATCCTCTGGCGAAGAAGAAGGCAAGAGCAATTAACCAAGGGATCGGATCACCGAAAGCCGAAAATGCAGCGGCAAACGTCAGTGTTTTGGTGAGAACGCACGCACCTAGTCCCATTAACGCTACAGCGCCGAGTGGGAGAGGCTGTGTGATGATCCCAACGATAGTTGCGAGAAATATCGAAAGCAATTGCCATGCATTCTTAGAAACTCCAGTAGGTACCGGAACGAACCAGAGGATAACACCGGTAGCGATTGAAGCAAGCAGAGGTTTCATCGCCGCTCCTTGCCATGGCACCGGCGCTGGAGCAGGATCCTGTTTAGCCGGAACTACAGCAGCAGATGCTTGTACGGAGAAATTCAGGTTTCTCTTCGGTGATTTAAGGCTGAGTAGCGGCAAGCGAGGAGTAAGATTTGATGTGTATGAAGAAGATGACCGGAGGTGGTGCTGACTGTTTGATCTGTTGAGATTTAACGGAGGAGATTGTTTGGACGATATGCGGTGGTTTGAGGTGGCGAATGACCTGAACCCTAGGTTGACGGAGGCGGTGAGGGCTACCGACGCCATCGTTACGACTAAACGATGGCGTTTGACGGCGGAATCCGGGATCTGTTTGTGTGTGGTTTGAATATGAAGAATGAACAATTGGACAGTTGAGAAATCGAAGGAGTCCACGTTTATATAAAGGTGAGAATTCTCGATATTTCAGCCGTTAGATTAAGATCCGACGGCTGAGAATGCAGTATTAGTTGGCCTCGTTTTGTCCGTTGAAAACCTTTCGCTGTTTCCGTCTCTCTATGGCCTTTGAGTTCACTGAAGACAGGGTTTTTGCTAAACTGCGCCAGGACGAACAGAGCACCGAATAAAATCCTACGTGGCGATTGTGATTTGACACGTGGAGAGATGAGAGTGGATCGCAAGTAGATGGAGAAAAGGGTTGAGGGAGCATGACTTTCTGACCACTGAAATGCACGTTGCTTCTTTTCTATGTCTTTAAACTAAGAGTAAATTACACGAATCGTCCTATAGTTTGGGGTAATTTACGCGTTTGGTTGCTAACTTATTTTTTTAACTCGAAAGGTCCTTACTATTTGTTTTCGTTACGCACTTGGTCCCTATTGTTTGTTTTTGTTACGTGCTTGGTCCCTATCTTACCCAAAAAGACTATTATTTAAATAGGAAAAGATGGTGGACATTAGCGGAGCATTATTAGGGCCAGAGGGGGCTGTAGCCCCCCTGATTTTTTGGTTCTAAATACCCCTTATAGTTTCATTTTATACATTTTATACCCAAAAATATAAAATTTTGACATTGGCCCCCCTGCTTACCAATTTTTATACATATTATATATTTGCCCCCCCCCCCCCCGAATCAAATGTTGAAGCTCCGCCCCTGATGGTGGGGTAGGTAAGGTAAGGCGATAAGGGTGACGTTGGGGTGTGTTTATTTATATAAATTAAAAAAATCAAGGGCAAAATAGTCTTTTTGGAAAATATAGGGACCAAACGCGTAACAAAAACAAATAACAAGGACCTTCCGAATTAAAAAAATAAGTTAGGGACCAAACGTACACTAAACCATAGGGACCATTCGTGTAATTTACTCTTGAACTAAAATATAAAAAAAAATCCACAAAAATAAAACATCTTTAAAAAGAAATTGTTCAAATTTTGTTCAATTCCAAAAGAAATTGTTATAAGTTTTACACATCACAATTTTCACATGTACCAAATCACTCAACGCATTATGGTTTAATACAATTTTGATATCAAAAGGTTAAAATGGACTAATATGAAAATATTATCGATAAATGAATATGAGTATGGATTCATTGGGTCCATATGGCCCAAGTATCTAATTAAACCATACTCTTTTGTCTTGTGAATTGTGAATTGAAAGAAAGGTATCATATTAGCCACATAACATGCAACTCTTGTTACTAGTTATTTGTCTCGTTATTTGATTCATTATTACACCCAACCTTCTTTGGAAAAACAAATTATTATATTTTATATCTTTATCTTAAATGTTTTATAAAATTCATCTATAATGTTTTCTGAAGTCCTAATATCAGTGGGTATGGACATGACCTCTTTTGTGAGGTGATATCTGTGATGATGAATTAAACTGTATTATCATAAAAGAAACAAATGTATATTGTGAAATGAAAATTACAAAAACAGTTTTATTGTTTGTAAATGTGAAATAATATTATTAAAATCATGGAACATACAGACATAGAAATCATGTTTAACATGTTTTTCTCCCAAATTTAAAAGTGTATTCATTTGCACTTTTTGCAGTGAAAAGTAAAGATTTATATATAGGAGTTTAATTGAGTAGTTTTTTTTTCTTTTCTTGCGAGCATATGAATAATTGATATTATTTTTGGCATTTGAGATTTACTTCATTTGTGTTATATTAACAATCCTATATATGTTGCAAACTAGAGATGCAAAAGTCCGGTAAAAAAACATAGTGTGATGATGATCCGAACCTGACATACAAATAAATAGGTTTGGATTGACGTTAAACGGGTTCGGGATATTTTTGGTTTGACCCATGTAACACGTATAATAAACAGGTCACGGTCGGGTTGTTATGCATGTTTGCAGTCCCGTTTATTTTGGTAAGAGATTAGGAGTCCATGTTATTTCCATTTTGATAGTAATTGTGTTTGATTATTCAAGATCTTCTTTCAATAATTTTTCTTATGAATACAAACTTTATTGATTAAAAAATTAAAAACAAATAACTTTATAAATAAGTATGAAGACTAAACTGCACAAATGGTCCCTGTGGTTTACTCAAAATTGCCACTTTGGTCCAAACTTTTCATTTTGTTGTGGGTTTGGTCCAATTTGCTTTGAACTTTTTTATAATGACGGATTTGCCCTTGCTTTTTCAGTTTATTTATTTATTTAAATGTTTTTATAATTAAAAGAAAATAAAAAACCAATTAATCTCTCTCTCCCTGTCCTGTACGAAGCTAACCCAACTCATCTTCTCCAAGCAAACCATAAAAAATGATGATCAGAAATCGATGAAACCAGCAACATTCAAACCATAAAAAATGATGATCAGAAATCGATGAAACCAGCAACATTCATCGCAGATGTCTTTCCACCAAGCAAGGACACAACAAGATTCGAGCACTACAAATTCAGAAGACATACCCTATTTTTGATTTCTTTTGGGGTATAAAAAGGCATAGAAGACAGAAGCCCTTGGGGTTTACATTTTCTTGGGGGATCCACTATTCATCATCTTCTTTGTGAACCACATTCAATCCAAAAACAATGAAAGGTCTGTGAATTTTTTTGATAAACACATCCCTTTCTTCATCCACTTTCAGATGTTCTACCCCCAATCTCTCCGTTTCTGATTTGCAGGTGTCATTAAAGTTTGAACAAGAATACCCATAAAACCCAAACAAAAAATAACTTAAAGCTTGAACGATGCTCAAGAACAGGGGAAGAAATCAGCATCGATTACTGAAATCATAAATCCCAAATGGAATAATCAAGAAAAAGAAGAACTCATGAAGACCCAATTCACAGGTCTAAAATCCAAGATCAAATGATTAAGAAACAGAAGAATACATAAACATCCACTTCAAAAATCCCCAATCGATCGATCAAGCAAGAAACAAGAAAACCCACAAAAATCCAACTGGAAGATCAAGCACATCGTATCCTCGTCTCTCATTAGAAAAAGACATCGCACCTAGATAGATTCCAGTCAAAAACACGAGACCCATTTCCTCCAACCCGATTCTCTATGAACACTCCTGTCATCTGGACACGAGACCCATTTGAGACACCTCTTGCAAAAGGTTCTTGTACACCCCTGTGATCTAGACCTTCTCTGATACGCATATACAACGACAAGTTAAATCAACTCCTCTGTGTCAGCTCTTGAAGACGCTTCTTATACGTTTGTTTCTATGAAATCGATCTCAAAGAAGAGAAAATCCTCAAATCTCACTTCTATTAACTTCAATCAAAGCGTCTAGTATTAATGTTGATCGTCGATTTCGATCGGAACATTCAAAGATCGTTATAAAGGGTTATTAGGGTTTGGAGTTCTGATTTCTAGTGACGTGTGTGTGTTTTTTTTTTTGAGGAAAAAGACAATCAGGTCAAAAAGAAGAACATGAGAGAGAGAGAGAAGAGAGAGAGAGAGAGATTAATTGGTTTTTTATTTTCTTTTAATTATAAAAACATTTAAATAAATAAAAAAAACTGAAAAAGCAAGGGCAAATCCGTCATTATAAAAAAGTCCAAAGCAAATTGGACCAAACCCGCAACAAAATGAAAAGTTTGGACCTCTGGTGTTAGTCCAAACCTTTTTGGACCAAAGTGGCAATTTTGAGTAAACCACAAGGACCATTTGTGCAGTTTAGTCAAGTACGAAATATGTTAAAAATAAATGAAAGGATGTTATGTATACATGCTCTTATATGAAGGACAAAAGTGCAAAAATGGTCCATGTGGTATGCATTTTTTTTGTGGTTTTAGTCCAAACCACGACTTTTTTGGATTGGTGGTCCTTTTGAGGTAGTTTACTTGTAACTTTGGTCCTTTGCTAAGCGACCGGACGATAGTGGAGATGTCATTTTCTGTGACCTGAGCGCTGCTATTTCTGTTCCAGTGGGAAACAGGAGAGATATTGAGATTTTCGGTTTCCGAGGTTGGGGGTGAGCCTTGTGGCGTAGTTTTGGTTACGATCTTTCATCAGAGTATCTGGGCAGTATGTCTGCCGCGAGGTAAGGATATAGCATGAGTAGGTTGTCAGTGGGGACTGAGATGGTCAAGGACCAGGATACACCCTATTTGAGCATAGTAGGGCATGTGTTAGCTGCAACAACGGACGGTCAAGAGAAGTATATCGGAGCGGTGGCTCTTATTGTCTATGATGGGTATCGAGTGTGGAAATGAGGTCTCTGCTCTTATGATAATTCACGTGATGGGACGTCAGTTGAGGAGTCGAGGATGAGGAGCATGTTAGTTCATTATTTTCAGACTGAGGGTCAATATTACTACTGGACAGTTGAGATGTCCGGTAGTGGGATGGTACGAGATTCTGAATGACTAGAGTCAGTCATGATGAGAAGTTTCTGAGGATTTCATCTGAGATTCGGGGTAGTTGGAGTTGTTTGATCTCCATCGGGGAGATCATCGAGCATTGTGTATCACCTTCCAAGGGTAGGTGCGATGTTACTGGTAAAAATAGTCTGTGGGATAGATTGTTGGTGAACCAATTGGTGATGGTTCGAACCCTGAGTGGGGGAGAACCGGGTACCTTTGAGGAGATTAGAGGTTGTTCAAGAGTGGTTGGAGAACTGGATATAGAGACCTGCGGTGCGGATTCCTAAGACCAGGGTTATTGGTGGTCAAGGCGAAGTGCAGAGCGAGATAGTGCATGTGGTATGTGTTAAGGAAAGGATGAGTGTCTCCACGGCAGGTGGTTGTCGATCGCAGACCGTGTGTGGCATGAAGATTAGTGGTGAATCCTGAAGGAACGCATTGTTGTATCTGTGTATGATGCGGTAAGTAGGAGATCAGTGGTTGAGACAGGACGTCATGAGGTTCTGTGATGGTGTACCGAGGTATCCGAGTATGATGTTCTAAATTTCGGACTATTTTGAGACTTGAGTTATGGG